CTAGTCAGGCATGCGTGGCGACTGGCGTTGTCAACATGGAAAGGTTTCTTAGTGGTCCTCATGAGGCCTTACCAGTTCGCAGTTCGCTCTCTTCCTCTTAAGGCTCTCCCAGCAGATGTTCAGAACCGCGTCCCATCCACCATGGTCAAAGGCGGCTATGCTTCAAGCTCAACCAGATCAATGACCAGGTCTCTGACGCCAGCCAGATCACATGCTTCCAAGACCAAACACAGAGCCAGTTGGGAGAAGCAAATGGCCAAGTCAGAAGACGAACTCTGGCGACTTCAACAAAGCTGGTGCTGCGCCCCCTTTGGGGAAATCAAGCCTGGCGCACAACTTCAAGCTGAGACGAAATGAGTTGGAGGACCTGAAGCTCAGCGACCTCTGCAGCCCCCCGGACAACCAGCGTGTCACACTCCGCATCAGACGTTTAAAGTTAGACCAGGAAGCCGAGGGTGCCAGAAGGACGCTAGGTCGCGCACGCTCATCCTCGTCGTGGAGCTTGCGCGTCTCTCGCGGGATGAGCTAGTTTTGAAGGCCTCAGGCAGACTGAGAAACGGCCAGGCGATCAAGAACGTTCTTCTACATCCGAAGCGGGCTCTCCGTCCATGATGTGCCGTACCTGGGGAGGTGGCGCAGCAACCTTGTGTTCACTGTGCCGAGGAAGCTTTCGAAGACAAGGCCTTCGGCGCGAGTGTGAAGCCCCTTCAGAAGCAGCAGCTGAGCCGCAAAACACAGGGTCACATGCAGCCAGCGTGCGCGGCTGAACCTGGGCTGGTGACCACCACGGGTGAATGCAGCGCTGGGAACCCACTGCCTCTCATTTTTCCTGGCAAGCTATTGGTGGAATCGCCTAAATGGGCGCGTGTCGAGGGGAAGTCGAAAGTGCTTCATGTGGTGGAAGGACTTGCGCAACCCACATCTGCCACATGGCGGACTAAGAGCGGGTGGCCATTCGCCCGAAAGAGCCACTTCACCTTGTTTTCTTCTCCAGCAGCTGCCAGGAAGTCTGTCAAGTGCAGAACGTCATCAAGCAGAACATCCGCGGCAAGCCATGTCAAGAGTGGGAAGGCGGATGCAAAAATCGAAAATGTGCCGCAACTGATCCAGCCCAGGAGGGAGGGATCTTGTGTAAAGCTGTGTCCTGAAACACAACGTGTGTGAGGGACACACGCAGAGATGAGGCAGTGGAACAATGACCCCAACTGCAGCCATGACGGCTGAAAAGCCCCGAAGGTGGCAGATTTTGTCCCACCCGCCCTGTCAGAGAGTGGGACTGCGGATGCAAGAATCGAAGATTCGGGGGGCAGGGACCCCTTCGGACCGCAACGGATGAAAGATCCAGCCCGCTCTGCACTGCAAGGGTGGAGGGAGGGATCTTGTGTAAACCTGTGTCAAGGGTTGAATCCAGGCCAGAGACCCAGGGCGTAGGGTCAGGCTGGTCCCGCAGTCCTCGTGTCCTGGCTTCTGGTCCGGTGGTCTTTTGGTCCTCTGTCTGGTAATCCTGTGGTACCCTGGTCTCTGGTCCCGTGGTCCGGTGGCCCCCATCATCAGATCAACATGCGTTTGCAAATCGCGCGTTGGCATCAAACAATGTTTTCCAAAAGTTGACGAGCAACAAAAAATCTGCTAAGCGTCATAAACTTGACAGGCACCAACAAACAGCTAAATGAGTTGCGAAAAGCGAGCGTAAAGCAGTTCCGGTCTTCTCGTCCTATGGTCCTCTTGTCACGTGGTCATCTTGGCCTGTGGTCCTCGGGTCCGATGGTCGTCTGGTCCTGTGATTCCGCGGTTCTCTGGTGCTATGGTCCGAAATTTTGCATCATTTGTTTCCTCAGAATGTCATAGCACCAAGGTTTATGGTATATAAGATGCTGCAAGCTTTCCTCTACTGCCAGTAGTCGTGGCAACATTTGTGAGTCAAAATTGGGGTAGCAGCTTCGTTTGCTTCCAAAAGATCGACTGCGGGATGCAAGCAATCGGGAGGAATGGGCCCCAGTGCTTATCATTTGATCCTTCCTTAAAGTTGTTTCATTCCATACTGACCTAGGGCCATAAGCCTGAACGCCAAGCCGGCCATAGTTGCGTTTAGACCCTCAGATCCTCTTTGATTTTGAAAATGGTCAGCAGCAGTCACAGGTATCGTAGGGGTCGGCGTCGGGATGCTCGCAGGTGTCGTAGCTATTAGACGCTCGGAGCCTTTTGGACTTTTCGGTTCATGCCATGCTTAAAAACAAAGCATCATGCCATCACCGGCTTGCAGGACGGGTGTGCAAGTGGGGGCTGCTAAGCCCAACACCCTCGCTGTTTTCAGGCCACCCATCTATGCAATAGAAAAGAAGCATCATGTCATCACCATGTTTGCAGTAAGGGAAGGTTGTGAAGATCATTTTGTTGGTTAATGGGGGGGCCACGCTCGCCCCCAACCCCCCAGCTGTTCTAAAGCCATCTCCGTTTCCAATAATAAAGAAACATCATGTCATCACCATGTTTGCAATAGGGGAAGGTTGTGCTGATCATTTTGTGTGCAAATGGTGTTGCGCCCCCCAACCCGTCCGCTGTTTTAAAACCATCTGTGCTTCCCATAAAAAAAGTAAGAAACATCATGTCATCACCATGTTTGCAATAAGGGCAGGTTGTGCGGATCATTTTGTGTGCAAATGGCGTTGCGCCCCCAACCCGTCCGCTGTTTTAAAACCATCTGTGCTTCCCATAAAAGGGTAAGAAACATATGTCATCACCATGTTTGCAGTAAGGGTAGGTTGTGCGGATCATTTTGTGTGCAGATAGCGTTGCGCCCCGCGACCCGTCCGCTGTTTTAAAACCATCCATGTTTCCAATGAAAAGGAAACATCATGTCATCACCATGTTTGCAATAGGGGAAGGTTGTGTGGATCATCTTGTGTGCAAGTGGGAGCTACTGCGCCCGCTGGCTTAAGGCCCCCCACGTATGCAATGAAAAAGAAACATCATGCCATCACCATGTTTGCAATAGGGGAAGGTTTGTGCAGATCACTTTGTTTGCGCTTGACATTTCCAGAATATGTCTTAAACCAGGTTCTTGATACAAGGGGGGACTGCATCTTCGGAATATCTCCCATAGACTCCTCAATAATCTGGTGATTCCTTTTCGATTCCTTCCTTCCGTATCAACCAGCACGTAAATTTGAAACCCCATGCTCGCACCAAAGCCTTATCCGTACCCCCAACTCCAACAGACCATCCCTTTGCCAGGGAACTACGTAGTTGAAGGAGTGGAATGTTGCAAGACCAGCATGTTCTCTCACCTGCAGCGCATGACACTTTGAGATCAGCAGACGCTGCCATTACAGCATTTGAAACATTCCAAGACCAGCAGATACCGTAATTTGCAGTACTTGACGTTTAAGACCAGCAAACGCTGTAATATACAGCAGTTGAAATGCACCCAGACCAGCAAATGCTATAATTTACAACATGCGTTCCAAGATCAGCAAGTGCTCTGATTGACAACACTCGAAGCGTTCTAAGACCAGCAAACGCTGTTATTTGCAGCATTTGAGACGTTCCAAGAAAAACTGACACTGTAATCTACAGCATTTGAAGTGGTCCAAGACCAGAAAGGAGCGAGCCACACCTCTGCAGAAAAAAACGCCCTTTGCGAGGGGGGGTGCAGGCTTGGCATGGTTGATAAACAAGAACGGCTACCTGTCAGGTGACATCGGACGATGAGGCCAATGTTACTGCTATGTTGATCCTCCGAAACAGTGCGCGCAAGTAGAGTTGGCAGTATAAGCGCAGCAGGAGCCGGATGCATCCCAGTCGGATGAGCAGCGCGAGGCACTCCATTTTGTGAGCTGTGCTGTTCCAATGCAACGGCCAAGTGTGAGAATGTTGGCTCCCTTAGAAATCTATCCTAGCTGTCAGGCGAGAACCCCCCCTCGCGAGCGAGAATCTTGGGTTGTGAGCCTCCAAGGGTGTGTGCACAGAAGCCCAAGCGCTGGCAAGCTAGCCTGCGGGAAACCTTTCTGCAATATGCAGACTGTTCCAGCTGGGAGTGCCACAACTGGCCTTAGCTTCTGCACGCCAGCTTGTTTCAAGGAGCGGTTGCCGGAGCGTAAGCCTGCAGCACCGTAGACAAAAGCCTGCGGGTGGAAGCTATAGTGCAGGTTGCCAGCGGAAGTCACGGAGGCCTGCTGTTACTCAGACATTCCACAAGCAAGCGCTGAGTTGCATTTTCGCAAACCACTTTGCGGCTCAATGTCAAGCCCACGGACATAGACATGAAACATGATTGACAACAGATGCCAACCCCTACACTTCGAGGCTTGCGTGGTTCAGCGTGTCCAGGAAGGTAGGGACTGCTAACCTGGTCCGATATGTCGAAGCAGGAAGTCTGATACGGAGTACATTGTACCTGCAGGCAAAGCTTCCCGGCTCTTGTGTTAGGAGGGTGCGGTATGTTGTTTGGAACGGGTGCGGACCGCACCTGGCTTGTCTGAATGGCCCTGGGCTCCCTGCCTTGAACAGGGCTCTACCACCCTGTAATACGCAGCAGCGCAGCTCCCTTGCCATCTGCAAGACTTGCGATGCAACTCCCATAATAGGCTGATTCTTGCGCGGACAGCCCGACCACTATGGTCCGACCCCCGCGGCCCGACCCCTGCCCGGCCCCGCGCGCCCCGAGAGTCTGAAAAGAACGACAGTTACAGGGATCGTGACCTCGACCACCACGATCCGTGTCACTGTTCACACATTTCAAGCACCAAGAGAGTCGGAGGGTCGAAAAGCGACGACAGTTGCCGGGATTGCGACCCTGACCCCCGCCATCCCTGTGACTGTTGACACCAGGAGCATCCGAGGGTGTAAAAACGTTTTTTGATGCGAAGTTCGCGCGCTGCTCGCACACGTGGAAGCTGATCACGCGCACGCAGCCCGTCTGACATTTTCCTGTTAACTGTTTCCAGGCTGGAACTTCAAACTGGGACTTTCTTGCCTCTTGCGCCTGCACAGTCAGCACGATGTCCCAAGCCGCTGTGATTTCAATGCCGGGCCCGCGCTGGCATTGAGCGAGTGATGGTTAAGGGCCCATTAATCCAGCCCCATTAGCGGGTCTCCAAAGATTGTACACAACAACCATTGTTGGAACCTTCCCAATTGTCCCCTACCTGCTGCCAGCAAGTTCGTAGGCCTCCTATTTATGGAAACTACCATTATAGGGATCGTGACGGGCAAAACGGATCTCTTCTTGAGGGTAGATCATAGGTAGTTGTACACCTGCAGTATAGTAACCATGATAGGTTTGTTTAGCGTCCCCCATGTCTGAAAGCTAATCAGGGCTTGGGAAACCCTAAACCCTTTAACCCCTAACCCCTAAACCCCTAAACCCTAAACCTAAACCCTTAACCCATAATTTGCGAGCATCGTGACCCTGACCCCCACGATCCGTGTGACTTTTCACACTTTCGAAACGCCTAGAGGATTCGAGGATCGAAAAGCGACGACAGGTACGAGGCGGTGATTGCGATCCCGACTCCCGCCATCCCTGTGACTGTTGACGCTTTTTCAAAATCTGAGAGGTTCACACCCCCAAAATTTTTTTTGATTGGAAAATAGTTTTTTTTTTGATGGCCGGAGCAATCCCAGACCGAGGAAAGGTCAGCATTTTGCGACAATAAGGTTTTTTTTGATGCCCAAAAAGTTTTTTTTGATACCTAAAAAGTTTTTTTGATGTGGAACTGAAAGTTTTTTTTTGATTGGTAAAAAAGTTTTTTTTATGGCCTTTTCAACGTGTTTTTCCACAAAAGCGGGCTCGCCCACGCTGTGGACAAGATATCAGTCGCCAACTAAGTAACTATGGAAGACCCGAAGTGGAGCGTCACCAACAGAAGTCTGAACACAAGCAAACAAGTTGCAAAGGATGCGCTCGGCGCGCAGCAGGGCCTTTCGCCTTTCGCGATGTGTTGAAGGATACATGTGCTCTTGCTGTCACGCGCGCGGTGGTGCAGCTAACGCAAACAAGCATATGTGTGGGTCGCAGGAACATGGAGTTATGCCGAATTGTCGACGCTTCCACATGCTGTCACATGGGGCGTCTTACGCTGATTGGGCGTGTTCGGACCCACTTCCATTTTGCACAACTTCCAGAAGCTGACTGAGAACTGAGAAGTTTTTAAGAAATAGTGAGCTAAGCAACATCGTGCACACACAGATCACGGCACGTGTGCCAGATGTAAAAAGTGCAGGCCAAACAGCATCACTGAATTATAAATCGCGCCGAACTGCCAGAAATACTCCCAATCAGTAGCAGGCTGCCACTGACACGGGGACACACGGGGACTGGCAGTTTAATTTTGGGCTCACCCTAACTGAATAGACTCTATGCACAAGCTCGTCATCCCATGTCATTCAACTCACAGAGGGCACGGTGCAAAGTACTTGAGGGTGCCCGGCGTGATTCTGAACAAATTTGGCAGGCATGGTTCCGGCACATCGCTCCAGACCGCAAAGGCATCAGCTTCAGTGAGTTCTGCAGGCAGCTTTCTGTGTTGGGCTATGAGACTGACATGGCCGAACTGTGGAGCTCTTTGAAACCCTCTGGCCCATTCATTACGCTGAAGGCGGGAAGGATTGCATAGCAGGAATTGCTTTCCGCGCGTGCCTTTGCCTGCAGGGGCTAGTTATCCTTTCACGCAACTTTGCTTGCATCATGAATGTCTCAAGGAAGAGTATTGTTCAGGTGTGTTTGTTGTTGTTGTTTTATGTATTTTTTGTTTTAGGCTTTTTGGCTTCTCGGCTTTCCGGCTTCTTGGTGTCTCTGGCTTCTTGGCTTCTCAGGCTTCTTGGCTTCTCGGATGTGCGGCTTCTAGGCTTTTTGGCTTGCTCGCTTCTTGGCTTCTGGGCTTCCTGGCTTCTCCTGCTTCTTGGCTTCCTTCCTGGCTTCTTGGCTTCTCCAGGTGCTCTCCCGGCTTTGTTACAGCCATTCGTGCTTACGGTACAAACTCATGTCACCACCATGTTTGCAGTAGGTGAAGCCTGTGCGAATCATTTTGCTTGCAAATGGGAAACCCCACCACTTTTTTAGGCCATCCATACTTTCCGCAAAACACGTGATGTCATCACCATGAGCTATGGTTACAGAGTGTACGCCCCCTGCACCTTTCCATGCGATCATGTTTGCAACAAAAAGCCAGCATCATATCGTCACCATGTCTGCAGCTGCAAAGGAAGGTTGTGCGAATCATTTTGTTTGCAAATGGGGGGCCCCCCTCGAAAGCCATCCATGCTAGTGGTAAAATGAGGAATCATGTCATTTCCATGGTTGCAGTATGGGAAGGCGGTGCACATCATTTTGTTTGCAAATTGGGGGGGGGAGTGGCTGTGCCCCCCCTCACAGCCCCCGTGCTTGAAAGCCATGTGCTTGCCGTAAAGAATACATGTCATGAACATCTTTGCAGGAGGGGTTTGCAAACGGGGCTTCCCCAAACCCACTTTTTTGTCATCCATGCTTACGATAGAGAAGATCATGTCATTGCCATGTTTGCAGCGAAGGGAGGATAAGGTTAAGGGAGGATTATGCGGATCATTACTGTTAATACCATTATTCCTGGTTTGTCGCTCATTGTCATCATCATTGTTATCTTCATCATTGTCAATAAGGCCTCTTCTGATTTTTATCACAACTGTCATGATTACTTTGATTACTGGTACAACAAGTTTACTGTTCTATTCCAATCGCATCGTAAGGGATTGTGCTCTCTCGCTGATTTTTGTAATGTTTTGACACTTAGTTGCGCTCCCACGCAGAGCGTCCTCAAATTTGCTCCCAGAATTGCGCTCTCGCGTAGGGCGTCTTCAAATTTCGGCTCAAAAATTGAGCTCTCCGTGGAGCGTCCTGACATTTCGGTCTACAGGATGCCCAGGACCACGCAAAAACAACAAAATACAAACAAGAAAATAAGAAATACATAATAATGTTTCGCCCATGTCTTCAGGTAATTAAACTGAACCAATTCGCATATGACGGGCTGAGATACAACGGAGGCGGTGGACCCAGTGGCGGCGGAGGAGCTTGAAGCCCTGGCGTACTGGTGTCGTGACTCAGGGGGAGGTGATGCAGGTGCATTGGAAGCTTTTCTGGCGGCCGGTGGTCGCTGCTGTGGTGCGGTCCCTCTGCAGGACCTGGCTACTGGCCTGCAAAGTCTTGATTGCCCGCAAAGGTTAATGAAGGCGCTCTCCCTGCTGGATCCGTGGCAGCGTGGCAGCGTTTGCGCACAAGACTTTTTCGCTGTAGAGCAGGACCCCGCGCGCCGGAGGGCGCTAGACCAACGCTGGCAGGCATTAGCTGCTCCTCGCGAGAAGGGAGTGGATGCTGATAGCACCAACGGTGAAATCAGTGGAGCTCAGCAATTGCTTTACAATCTTGCAAAGCAGTCCACGCCTTTGGGTGGCAGGCATTGGAAGGCTTGCAAGACGCTTTCGGAGCCAACGCTTGCTTTTGAGAACAAGCTGTTGCAGGCTCCGCCCGTAGTTCTGCATTCATCGCAACGCTCGCGAACATCTCGGGTGGTGATGCCCCGCCTGAAGCCGGACGCTCATGCAGGAACATCCTGTCCAGACCTGCAAGATGCGCCAGAAGCACCACAAACGAATCAGGTATTTAGGAGACGTCAGACGCGCTCTGTTTACGAACAGAAGCAGTTTGTGTACAGCCAGCGCGCCGGCATGCTTCCCACCCTGAAGACAGCCTGTGCCACCGTCCCTTACTGGGGAGATGAAAAGAGGCAAAGGTCCGACAAGCAGCGGCCACGGGTCCACAAAGTCTTGGCCCTCGGGAGGGACCAACTGCTGTTCGAGAACTTCGAGCGGAGCCGCCAAGGCCAATGACAAGTTGGGTCGGGCTGTCACATCAGGCGAGGCTTGCGTTTCACGATTGCATGCTGACATTCGGATCATGGCCGGAAAGTTAAGCTTTTGTCACATGGACCAGCTACGAGCCTGGCTTGCTGCTCGCTGCTTAGGTGAGGTAACTTTCTAGTGTTCAGGCTTGCACAACATTTTGCACTCGCTTTGCTATGCATGGTGCCTTTGGTACAAGTGGGATGGAGGGCGCCGAGGGTGTGAGACATAGAAGAAGGCGAGGTTTGGAAGTTGGGAATGTAGCAATGTCCGCATACTTGTTTGTTTCAATAAACGGGCCTGCGATTCAACATTAGCTTGAGCATCAGTGGTTACTGAGTATATCAGCCTCTTTGTTGGCTGGTTTCTGTTTTGAGCATTTGGAGTCCAGAAGCGATTTATAAAATCCCAGAAGCTATTCATAAATCCCAGAAGCTATTTATAAATTCCAGAAGCTATTTACAAAAAAGTTTGTGACACCCAGGGGCTATTTAATAAATAGTCCGGAGCCGCTTCAAGCCGCT